AATCCATAGTGAAGTTTTGAGGCCCTTAAAAGATAATCTGATAAAGATGTTTCTTCTTTGTTGGTAAAGATTTGCATGGTAATGAAGTTAAGTTTGAAAACTGTATTTAGATTTAATTGACATTTCCTTACATATCTCTTAAGTGTCATTAATTTGATTCCCCTCTCTTTAGATACACGATAAGCTGTACCACTATTAAGAGTTGCATTAACAGCTGCTCGCATTTCATTCTCATTAACTATATCTCTAGGTGGTCTATCGGTTTTTCTTTTTTTATGATACACCATTTCTTTTTTTATGTTACACCAAATCAAACATATTTATATAGTGTTGCTATATTCCTAATTTTTGGATAAACATTTATAAAGATTTTTACTTACTAAAATCTTCTTTATTAACAAACACACACACACACACTTTATTTTAAGGCTTTATTTTAAAAGAAAAAATATATTTAAAAACAATATGACGTATTGTACATGTTACTTTAAAAGTTAAATTTTATGTGTGTGTGTGTGTTTGTGTAGGTGCATAAACGCATTAGGATCAAGGGTGCTAACCCGCTCCATTTTTTAAAAAATTCTTTTTTTGTCATATCAGATGCTTCTATAGCTTACCAAAAGCAACCATACAAGAGGTGAATAGTTTAGTTACATAATGACATAAGCATAATTATTCAACTTAAAAAAATAATAAAGATGCGAGATTCCTTGTAAAAGTGAAAAAATTACTTTTTGTCGTCAAAATCAAACTATTTAGAAATAAATTTAATAGTGGTCTATTCTCTAAGATACAATATTTATAACACACTGTCAGCCCTCTTTAATAAGTTATGTAAGTATGGAGATAACGCTATAGGATCAAAGGTGCTTACGGATCAAGGGTGCAAGTTCTCCCCTAATCTTTTTTTTTTATCTTTTTCAAAAAAACAATTATCCTAAGAATAAATTCTTGTTTATTATTGAAAAAAATTAATGTAAAAAAGTATTTTCTGATGTTTCACTGTTCCCAAATACTAAATTAAGTATTTTGTATATTTATTTATTATAAGTTAGGCTCTAGAAACTTTTGGTAAATCTTCAACAGTGCCATTACCAAAGGTAAGTCTAACATTCCACCTCTAATTTATGAGACTGATCTTATTTCCTTCCCTCAGAACTACTTGTAAAAAAAATTTTTTTATTTGACTCTTGAATATTATGGCCATATTTTTCCTGTCATTCCAGTTAAACAGGTTAACCCATTGTTAGACATCAAAGTTATTTCAGCTTTTGTTGCTAAAGTCCTATCTCAATTGAACTCTTCAATCCAGAAAACATTTCTGTCATAGTCTTACAAAAGTGTTTCACAGAACTCTCTCTAAACTATATAATAAGTGCTTGAGTGAGTATTGTTTTTCGGTCTGCTGGAAAATGGCATATGTAGTTCCAGTTTTTGAAAACTCTGATGAACATCTTGACTAATTAATCTTTTCTCTATTATTAGCAAGGTCTTTAATTAATAAATCTCTAAAATTCCATATAGAGTCAAATAACTTACGCTCTGACAATCAAAAAAGTTTTCGATCCTCTTTCTCTACAGTTGATTTTCTGTGACTAAAAGATTTTATCGCGCATTAGATGGAGGCGGCAAAGCAAGGCTATTTCTATTGACATATCTAAAGCTTTCAACAAAGTTTGGCATGCTAGTGTTTTCCATAAGCTTATGGTGTATCTGGGAAAGTTTTTGAGTTTATCAAATCGTTTCTTTTAACCTGTTTTAATAAAGTTATCCTTAAAGGCCAACACTCTTTTTCATTTTCAATTATTTCTAGTGTACCTCAATGTTCTATCCTTGGTCCTGTTTTGTTTTTTTATCTACATTGATAATCTTCCTAAAGTAGCTCTATTTGCTGATGGCTCAACTTTTTACTATCTTAACAAATTGTCTTCTCTTTTAGATTACTTAGATCAGGCAGCCGATCTTGAATTTGATTTCACTTTTGTCACAGATTGGGGCTTGCAGTGGTTTGTAAATATCAACTCCAAAAAAACTGAGTTATTTACTGCAAACAACTATCGCAACACTGTCGACATTCTTATGTTAATGAATGGCAGCCCTCTCATTGGTTGATTACAAAGTTTGCATCTGCTAAAGTTCTCTTTATATTGCTCGCAATTATCTTATTCATAATTCTGTTCATTTCCTCTACAAATCTCTTATTTGTCTTTTTATGTAACACTATTTTCATTTTGGGGCTGGTTTTTATAATGATGCTCTTTCTCTTCTAGACAAAGTCCAAAAACGCATTGTAAACGTAGTTGGACCTTTATCTGCTAAGCTTGAGTCTCTCTACCATTGTTGTAAAATTGCATATCTTTCTCGTTTCCACAAATAATATCATTGTTGCTGCTCAAAGGAACTATTATCTTAAGTTTCTTCAAACAAAACTAAACCTTGCTTGACTCTTCATTTATCAAAATCACATACTTTTACTGTATCTGTTCCCGCATTTAAATCTTCTGGAACTCTTTCCCATCTTCATGTTTTCTCAACTTCTACAAACTTTTCAAGCCTTCTATCAACCGTTTCCTTCCTCTTTAATCTATTTTTTGTTTTATAGTAAATTCCAACTTAATAGCTGTAGTTTGAAGCCTTGTTGGGAGTGAATTAAAACTAAAAAAAAACAGTTAACTAAGTAAGTGATAAAAGATTTTAAAAAGTTTCTGTTCTGAAAAAGTTCTGAACAAAAATTGTTCAGAATAGTTTTCTCTTAGAAATTCCTTAGTAAAATATTTTGAACACTAAACGTAATAAATTTAATAGTACGTTGAACTTCAATTTGACTAATTAATTATACTTCTTGTGGTAGTCAATCTTTTGCGGATTCATTTTATTAGATCACGGATATTTTTTTATATTACAATTTTTTTTCACTCAGAATTCGCTTTATATCAGTTTATTAAATTAGTGTTAATGAAAATAGTAATAAAAACATTTTAATATCAAAGATAAACCCAAGCTGCATAATTAAAAAAAAATTACGCTTTTTCTTTTCGCCTTAAGATAGAAAATATATACATTTACACGTTTTTTTATTAAAGTTTTCTAAAATTTACTTCTTTCAAAGACACCATATTAAGTTTTCCCCTAAGCAACTCCCTTAGCAACCATGCCTTTTGGTTGCTTTGGGCTTAAAAATTTAACCAAAACTGAAAATAAATTTTTCCTTAAGAAAACAAAATCTTTAAGGGTTTATTTAAAATTTAAGATTTACTGATAAATAAAAAAAAAAAAAAAAATATCACGAAGAAAAAAAAAAAAAATATCACGAAGAACAAGATTTTTGATCATTTTGAAAATCTTTTTTTTAATTTTGTTAGTTTTCTTTATTTGTAATTTTTCATTCTTAAAACACACATATCTCAGATTCTATTACTCATTTTTGGATGAAATTTTCAAGGTTTGTTCGTCTGTATATAAGTTAGTATCCCAGTGGAAACGGACGTATAAAAGACGTCTTTTAAACGTCTTATACACGTTTTGTACGTCTTTTGAACGATTTTTGAACAGTTTAGACGTCCTTTGAACATTCAAAAGACGTCTTTTTTTGGTCCGGTGCCCACTGGGATATGAACCAGAATCAAATTAATTTTTAAAGTATCTTAGGAATTATTGGACAACTTTTGTCTAGTTTAACCCCTTTTTTAAATTCCCCAAATATGTATACCTACCATTATAGATCTAAAAATAATTATAAGTTTTTGCGAAACTAATCTACAAATAGCTAGAACTCTTTGTTTTAAGAAAAGCTATGTTTTAAGAACATTTTTGCTGGTTCAGCATTTAAAAACGTTAAATAAAGTTTTTTTTCATTTTTTTTTTTTTTTTGCAATATAAATAAAACTTCTTTATGTTGAAAAGTAAAATCAAAATATATGTATCACTCAATATAAAAGCGAGCTTGACCTCACAAGAATTTTTGTGTTTTAAAAAAAAGAATTTCCGCATAAAAAGTATAAAAATTCACTATTTAATACAAAGATGAAAGCATTTATAGAAAAAAAAACACTAATTAATAGTATTTTTTTTTCTATAAATGCTTTTATCTTTGAATAAAAAAAACATAAAAGAACAATCTTTCTTCGTTAAGTAAATGTTTACGTTAAACGATATAAAAGTAAACATTGTTAAAATATTTTAAATGATTTTGGATAAATTTTCGATTTTTACGGAAAACCTGTCGTGGTCCAACTAAGATTCGCTAACATAGCTACATGGTTGATGATTGAAAATTGGAACACTTATCAATGAATGTCTATTCTATCAGATTCCTACGTCATCTTGGTAATTTTTTTACTATAACTTAATTTTTAATGCATTTATACATTTGAATTTATCTTTTTAAATGTAAAATATAATTTTATTGATGGATGACGTAAGTTGATGAAACTTCGACCTTTTATGCAGATGAAAATGTAAAAATTAATTTATGTACCTTTTGCTATGTTAGCGAATATGTTTTCAAACTTGGCATGTTTAGCAACTTTTTCTAGTTTTTCGCGTAAATTTTTGTTTACGTTATTAAAGCAATGACGTAAAACATTAATATTTTTTTGCGATTTTGTTTTATGACTTAATTATCTCTGTTTCAATTAACATAAAGTTTAAGTAATATTTTTTTTGTTTTTATAATAGTCTAATAATTTTTATAACTTGTTAATAAATATTAGAAATATATATTTTCAATTTTTTGTTGATGAAAAGTAACAACAAATTACTAAATTTCAGCCAATTTCATCATTTGTCTCGTTTTTTTTAAACTAAAAGAAGTTTTTTTACATTATATTAAATGTCATATGGTAAAACATTTTATTGTTGTTTTTAATCCTTTTACAAAACAAAATTATCTTTAATATTTCAAAAGTTATGAATATTTTAGTAACACACCTTACGTTAAAATTTTCAAAAAACAAACAAACAAGAAGCCGTAAAGCTCACTCTTGTTATATATATATACTTTTTACTAGAGTACCACTTTAACGACCGGCTACTTTTTAACTCTTTTTATCGTTTACCGTAAGAAAATGTGGTTTTCATCATTTATTTACACCATTTTAAAATGATATCAATCGAATTTAAGTGGTATGCCTGTTGCACATTGACAGTGACTAAATTACAAAATTTAAATCTTTTTGATATAAGTTAAAATTATAAAGATAAAAAAAAAAACGAAAATAAATTAATAATAAGTTGAAATGAAGCGAAATTAGTAGTACATTATTGTAACTTGTTGTATCTATGGTATGTATTAAAGTATGTTATCAACTATTGAACTTTTTTTTTGTACTTAAAAAACTCTATATAGATAATAGTTTTTTAAATTATTCGTAATGATTAAATTATTTTATTATTTTATTGTTTATTGAATAATATTCTGTAAAAAATATTTAAATTATCGAACTCAATTCTCCAATTAAAATAACAGGATTTAATTTGACTTTTTTTTTTTGAAATAATGTTGCTTATTAAATCTTATTCAGCTATGATGCAACAACCTCACTCGCCAACAATGGCGCCAAATCTAGAGTTTATTGAATCTTATATGGATTGCTTAGAAAGTTTACCTCTGGAAATACAAAGACTGGTAACCCAAATTCGTGAATATGATGTTCTTTACAGAAAAAATATTGAGCAAATATCTCGTTTTTCTAACATGTATCAGAGCGAGGATTATCATTTGAAAAGACAGTCAATTTTAACTAAACTTCAAAAGTGTTTGCTTAAATCTCAGCAATACGCTGATGAAAAGCTTCAACTTATATCTCAGATGGTAGATTTGACCGAGTTGAGAAACCAACAAGTGTCGAGAGATGCAGAGGCAGTTAATGTTGAGCAAAAAGATGAGAATTTTTTAAAAACTAAAGTGGAAAAGCAAAAGGTGACATTACCTGAAAATTCAATAAAAAGTTATTTAGCAAAGCGACCTAGGAGAGGAAAAACTAATGATAAAAACAATGATAGAGAAAAAATAGTTCAAACATTAAAAGAAGAATTAGAAGAAGAGGAAACAGAAGAAGTAGAAGAGGAAGATTCAAGATTACGAAGCAGTAATAATAAAAAAAAAGATAAACTAGTTCATTGTAAAGTAAAGGAAGAGGATAAAAAAATTGAGAAAAAAAACCCTATAAAAATTACTAAAAAGTCAAGTAAATTATCAAAAAGTAAAAAGAAAAAAAAAGAAAAAGAACATAGCTCTGAGGATATGGTTGTTGATCCTGATGAACCAACATATTGTTTATGTAATAGTATTTCTTATGGAGATATGATCGGTTGCGATAATGATGACTGTCCTATTGAATGGTTCCATTTTGGTTGTGTAAACCTTACTCATAAGCCAAAAGGAAAATGGTTTTGTCCATCCTGCGTTACTGAGAGAAAGGGTAAAAAGTGATATTTAGCAGTATATATATATATATATATATATATATATATATATATATATATATATATATATTAATGTATATATATATATATATATATATATATATATATATATATATATATATATATATATATATATTCAGATATACACAGAAAAAAATAACTGCAACATAAATGTGTAAAATTGCTATTATTTAAACAAAAATTATCTTACGTACACACACACTAAAAATGTATACAACAATTTAAAGGTATATTGAAAAAGTTATTTTCTTTATCTTTTAAATTTATTGTCTTAACATATTTTATTCTTTAACTCTATATTTAACAATTATCGACATTAATATGAATTTTTATGAGAGTTTTTGATTTTGGATAAAAAATTTTATTTTATGAGAGTTTTTGAATTTGGTTAAAAAATTTTATCAAATACTGACGATGGCAAATTTTAATAGCAGAGTTCAAGCATATTTTTTAGCTTTATTTTAATTTTTTATATAACAACTCCCCATGTGTGAGAGCACACTTTTATTTTAATTAGGAAAAAATGTTTCTCGAATAAATTTAAATTTGTTAATAGCTTTTAATTTTGATACAATTATCATTTGCTCGAAATTTGTTCGAAAATCTCAAATCAATTTGTTCGAAAATCTCTCCAAAATGATGTTGTAAACTTTACGCGGTCATAATTTTTGATTATTTTAAATGTACTAATCAAGTTGAAATCTGTCAAAAGCTTTAATCTGTCAATAGCTTTAAGCCTCTCAAACACCTACAAAAGCTTCCACTGCCCTCGTTTATTTTCTAACATTTGAAGAGAAATAGTTGTTAATGCTAGTCAATAAAGTTCCTTTTTAACTTATTAAGTAAAACGAATACTTTCAACTGATATATTAGTGTTATCTATTATATAGCCAAATTCCTAATTTAATTAAGTTAATTTTAGGTATTATCTTAAGTAATCTTGTTCTATGTAAGTTCGAGCTAAAACAATCCAATTCCATCGTTTAACTTCATTTAACGATCAACAATAACTGTTAAAAGTTGTTTAAAACCTGGGTCAGGGAATTTCTTCCGTTAATAGAACTTGAAATCAGTCAATATTTATATTTTTTCCCTAGAAAAGTGAAAAATAGTTATTGCACTGCAGCTTGTAAAAGTATAACTTTTTTTTTTTTTTTGCGATGCCTTGTACGTAAAAAGTGAATATATCAAAAAATATCTTAAAAATGATTTCAAACATTTAGTTTTCCACTAATCTAAATCTTTATACCGTATCCATATATCCTAAGCATTGGCGGTTAGCAGAAAAGCGCTTTTTTTCGGTTATGCGATAAAAACTCGCACTACATCGCATTTAACTTTTCGATATAAATTAACTCACAATAAATCGTCCGACGATTCGCTCTATAAAAATAACATCATTGCGATTATTTAACTAAATATCGCATTTGTAACTGAGTGCCCCCGATTTCTTTGATATAAAAACTATATTATATTAATATTTATTTTATACAAGTTAATTGAGGGTGGAATGCAAGAAGCGAACTTGAGTCAAGCTCGACTTGAACTTTACATTGCAACCAATAGCGACAGAGTATGGGTTTTCCCCTCAAAAATAATGCTTCTTGCATTCCACCGTTAGTCTTGAAAAATCCTTATATAAATAATATTAGTGATAATTCAAAACATTAAATATTGGTCTAAATTCAAACGCTTTATCACGATCGAATCCAAACGCTTTTTCTACGTTTAATAAAACTATAATAACCACTGTATATATATATATATATATATATATATATATATATATATATATATATATATATATATATATATATATATATATATATATATATATATATATATATATATACATATATACAGTGGTGGAAAAAATAATAAATACACTATCTAAAATTTTATAAAAACCCGTTTTATTCACAGCAATTGATGTTATCTGATACTAACTTTTATTTTTTTATAAACCTTATTGTTAGAAATTATATTTTTTAAAAAATTATAATTTTTTTTTTCAATTTTTCTTATGTTACTAACAATTTTGTATAAAGTAGCCGGAATTTTACTGGAAAAAATAATAAATACAGAAATGGTTAATTTGATCGTATATTTGAAAAAATCAAGAAAATTCAATGTTTATAAAACAAATATTTAACAAAAATAATTTAAAACAATTATAAACAAAAACAAACTTCTTTTTTTTGAAAAAGGTTTATCAACCACGTAATACAATATTTACAAAAGTTGCCTAATATTTTGTTGCGTATCCTTTATTTTTTTTAACTTCGATTAGTCTTTTGGGCATGCTGTTGACCAATTTATAACATGTTGATAGTGGAATAGCGTACCATAATGTTTTCACAGCCCCCCACAGATCTCTTTTGTTCCGAGGCTTTTGCTTTGCTACCTCATCCTTTACAATTTTCCATAAATTTTCTATGGGATTTAAATGGCGATTGTGTTGGCCAGTCCAGTTGTCTTACAACATTATTTTGGAACCATCTCTTTGTGATAGAGGCTGTAGGTTTTGGATCGTTATCTTTTTGAAATATCCAGAGCAGCGGCATGTTATCCTCAGCATAAGGAAGCATTATTTCTTCAAGTACGTTAGTATAAATATCAGCTGTCATAGTATCTGTTATTAAGTAGATAGGACTAATACCAGATGACAAGAAACATCCCTACACTATAATGCTTCCATCGCCAAATTTAACTGTTTTTTTAGTGTAATGTGGGTCAAACTCTTTATTTGGTGGTCTGCGGACAAACTGCTTACCATCTGATCCAAAGATTTACTCTAAAAGTAATTAATTGAAAGATATTAATTTAATACATTAGTAAACTGTAAATAAATAACTGAACATACATAAAAAATTGAATTATTAACATAAAAAAATTATTGAACATAGTTTATGTTTTAAAATATAAAGTAAAATATTATTCAGTAGCGTAGGAAAGTCATATCAGTTTGAGAGAAAGTAACTAAAACAGCCAGGGTTGGAGATTTGAAGGGTAAGGGTAAGGGAAATGACCCTCCTCCTAAACAAATATCGGGGAAGAGGCTATTACCTCTAAATCCTCTTCTTACGAGGTATTAATAATAACCGGAGTCAAACACATGTTTGAAAATTAATAACAGTTGAAAATTAAAAAAAAACAAAAAGATTAATCATTACTGGATTTATTATTTTTTCCAGTAAATTTCCGGCTACTTTATACAAAATTGTAAGTAACATGAGAAAAATTGAAAAAAAAATCATAACTTAAAAAAAAAAATAATTTCTAACAATAAGGTTTATAAAAAAATAAAAATTAGTATCAGATAGCATCAATTACTGTGAATAAAACGGGTTTTTATAAAATTTTAGATAGTGTATTTATTATTTTTTCTACCACTGTATATATATATATATATATATATATATATATATATATATATATATATATATATATATATATATATATATACTATCGTCCATAATTTTTTTTTTATTTAGGTGCCCAAAGAAGTCCTTACGGATTTATCACAGAGTACCGCGGAAGAGCATTTAATAGGAAGTTTAAACCTTTCACAACCAATGTAACATAACTTGCCCAGATGTAGGTTTTGAACCAAGGATCTTAAGTTTTTGAGACGAGTGCGCTACCACTCCGCCACAGTTGCTATAATTATTTGAATAACATAAACATTTTAAAAACATTTTAGTTTAATTATTTTTAAAATTTTATTTTTGCATTCATAGATAGTTTAGGCAATATAAATGTATTTTAAATAAAACACTTTGATAAAAAATCATCAAGCTATCAAAACACATGTTCAAATTAGATGAAGTTGGATTTAGCGTTTATTTACGTGAGTAATCGCTCATTAATCAGTTCAATGTTTATGTTAATTCTTCATAATTATTAAGTCCAATGTTGATGTTAATTCTTTATAAATCATGCAATTATCAAATTTGATGTAATGTGAAAGTTATATAAAGTAAGCAACATAAATATTTAACTATTCCTGCCTATTTTATTTTAAAAAATTTATTTATGCTATTCTTTTGCTCAAGTAATTTTAATAGTTGTTTTCTCGCCAATAGTTAAATAATTTTTATAAATTATTAATGTTTTGAAACGTAAATGGCAAGAAAACCAGAGCTGTTAATTAAAAAACGATCTGCAATATTCACATTGCGGCAAGAAAAATATTCTGTGTCAAATAGCAAAAAAATTCAAAATTTTGACTTCAACAGTTTGGAATATTATAAAAAAGAAAGAAGAAACTGGAAGTGTGGTCAATCGAAAGCGATCGGGACGCCGTCAAATTACGTCTGCTGCCGAAGACAGAAGACGTAATTTGACGCTCCGGTATCAGTTACAACGGTGAAGAGGCGATTGATGGAAGCAGGACTTGGTGGTAGAATAGCTGCAAGGAAACCATTCCTTCAGCTCCAAAATAAAAAAAGAGACCAAATACGAGAATAATACTAGATACAAAATAAAAAAAGAGACTAGACTAGAGAGAAAACTACACGAAAAATGGACCATCGATGACTGGAAAAGTGTTCTTTGGAACGACGAGTCAATGTTTCAAATTTGCGGTTCTAAGAGAAGATCATTTGTTCGAAGATCGTTGTCCCCCCCCTTCCTCCCCCATATATATATATAGTAGCTTTAAAATCACCAAAAGCAGCTTTTTTTTTAATAAAAGTTTGCAAATTTTCTGTAATACAAAGTAAAAAAAAATTACGTTTATACAAAATGTTTTAGTAGTAAAATTTCTATTCTGATAAATATTTTCTAGAGAAAAAGAAATTTCATTGCTTTTGTTACTATTTTGAAATTAATCCAAATACTTCATTTTACACGCAGTTTCTCTTTTTATTGTGTCATTTATGACATAATACACATATGACATATGAACAGAAAACAGTCATTTATGAAAAATTAGAAAAGTTTGTTGACTTACATGAAGTATTGCGCTTAATACTTCATGTAAGTCATGTATTCTCTTAGATACCTCATGTATTCTTTTAGATACATTAAGACATTACGGAATAATTAATAAAACTTATTATTGGATTAAAAGCTATCTTACAAACAGAAAACAATATGTAAATAATGCCCAATCTAGAGTGTTAAATGTCATATGTGGAGTAGAATACTTTATGTAAGTCATGTATTCTCTTAGATTCTTCATGTATTCTCTTAGATAAATTAAGACATTATGGAATAATTAATAAAACTTATTATTGGATTAAAAGCTAT